GCCCCCATCTCTGCCCCTCTCCCCCCCGCCCTTTCCCCCGAGGCCCCTCGGCGTGGTCCCGGGCGAGGTAGCGTCTGTCTCCGGAGCGTGTAGGGCTTTGCAAACAAAGTGTCTGTGCAATAAAGTGAAACCTGGAGGGACAGGCACAAAGCCAGTGGAAAGAAAGAGGAAGGAGGGGGGAAGTTGGGGAAAGAAAGAAACCCGGGGGTCCCGGACAGCCTCCAGGCCGGCGGGTAACGAATTCCTCTGCTGCTCTGTTTTGCAGGTTGGCTGCCTGGCGGGTCGGTGAGGGCGCGAAGTAGATGGTGAGCAGTCCCGGCAGCTGAGGGCAGGTAAGGAGGAAGCCGCGGGGCCGCCCTGGGCTCCGAAAACACGCGGGGTGCTCTCGCCTCGCCCTCTTCAGACGGGCCCCCCGCTTCCCGGGTCCCGGCAGGTGGGCGAGGCTGGGGGGCGGCCTGGCCCCCGTCAGGGTGCGCCGCCGACCCCAGAGCTCCGCCGCGGCCCCGCGCCCCCGCCTCCTCCGAAGAAACCGAGCTGAAGTGCTAAGTTTGAAGAAAGTCTTTGAAACTCACGCCGAAGCCGAGCAGAGTCCTCGTGGCCCAGGAGTCCCGGCTGTTTCCCTTTCATCCCCTTCCCTGCAAACTGGGTTCCCCAGCGCAGGCCGCGGGTCCCCAAGGACAGGAGCGGGAGGCTTGTTTGGCTCCAACTTCTTACCCTGCAACTCCCTAGCGCGGCTCCCAGGCCTGCGTGGAGTTACCAAAAAGCTCGGTGAAGCGACAGGTCCTCTAGGGCCCTGGTCCACGCCGCTTCCTGACCCCCGAGAGCGCTGCCTCCGGTTCGGGGCAACTGGGGAAGCCAAGCTTCGACCCTCCAGCCCGGGTCAGCGCGAGCGACGCCGCCGAGGCCTAGTTCTCCGGCGCGGATAGGGTGCTGGGGCCGCGGGCTCAGCTAGTAGGATAGGCAGGGCGCGCACGGGACCTGCTGCCCTCAAACCTCCCAAATGTGCCAGACCCTTTGGGGCACAGCCCCCGCCCCGACCCCACTGTCCACACCAGGACCCGATAGAAAGAAGGACCGCTTGAGTTGGCGAAGGAAGGCCTGCGGCTCCGACGAGGCACCCCTAACCTGGGCCGTGTCTCAGACCCGCCGAGGCTACAGTGGCCCCTTCTGCGTCTTCTGGCCGGCTGTGGGGGACCTGGGTCAGTAACCGCGATTGGGGTGCAGTGGGATTTCGGGGGGGAGCAATCTTTCGGCGGCGAAGCACAGAGAGGCCAGCTGGAGGGGTGGCTGTGGGCTCTGGGGCCCGCACCAGCCGCTGAGCCCTTTGAAGAAGCGCACGCTCCTCGGTGCGCCTCGCGTCTGGGAGAGGCCCAGGTGCTGCTAGCGCCTCACCTTGGTTCTCTGTAATCTCTATCTTTCAGTCTCGCTTCCTAAAACATTTCAAACAGAATGAAACGACCCCTCATCCTCTGGGCGCCTGCAGCGGGGCCCAGTGCACATTTGCTGTGCCGTGTAGGGCCGGCTCTCCCCCGGCTAGAATTTTGCCTACACTTGGGACTTCGCACACGCCGGGGTTCAAACTCTGACCTCCCAGCGGAGTCCAGCTTTTAACTTCTCCTCACTCCTAGCGATGCCCTACGAGTCTTTGGCCCATTCCAGGCACGAAAAGAGGTGACGCCGATCCAGAAAAGTTTGTTTTTTTTGAGGAGGTCTTGGTCTTTGGACTAAGGCCTTGTAGAGCCGAATTGACCGCCCCGCGCAGTCCACAGCCTGTGTCCCCTCCCCACCCCGTGGCTCCTTGCCTCTGACAAGACCAGGAAGCCGAGATGGCTGCGAATGACTCTTTCCTTGTGTCTCCTGTCTCCACAGGCCGAGCCCCAAGACCCAACAGAGCTTGAAGGACTGCGCGGTGGTAGCCCCGCATTGCGCCTGGCCCCCTGGATCCGTCGGGGCGCCTTCACCCGGCTGTTAGCATGATGTCTTACCTCAAACAACCCCCATATGGCATGAACGGGCTGGGCCTGGCCGGGCCCGCCATGGACCTCCTGCACCCCTCCGTGGGCTATCCGGGTGAGCACCAGCCCCCACCCACCCACCCCCAGTTCCTGCAAATCTTGGGGACCCCCAGCCTCTTGGGTTTGAGCACACACTGTTGCTGAGCCGGCCCAGGGAGCCGGTTGCCTGGTCTGTTTGTAATGCAGGGGCACGCTGCAGGCTCACAGGGCAGAGTTGCAGGTTGGTGAGGTGGGCCAGGGCCGTGGAAACAGGGCAACGTGCACACCCCCGGCGGGGCCCTACTGACCACCTGTCTCCTGTCGTGGCCCCACCACCAGCATCGCGATTCGTTTCCCCTGGGTGGCTTTTGTTGGTGTGTGCATGTGTGAATCTCTCCCCCCCCCCCCCCCCCACGTTGAATGAGGAATCTAGACACTCACCATGCCCTGACAGGAGGAGCAGAGCTGTCCTTCCAGGAAGCAACTGGCTGAGCTGAGGAAGGGGATTCTCTCTCCCTAAATTGTCCTCCAGACCAGTCGTCCGCACCAACTTTTATACTGCTGATGTGGATGGCTTGAGCCGGATTCTGGCTTTCTTTTCTAGCTCCCACTCTTTCGCTCCCATTTATTACCTCGAAAAGTGTTTTCCAGGTGGTGTCTTTGTGCACCCCTTCCCCAACCTCCAGCCAGGGATGGAGATAGATGATCGATGTGTGTGTGTGTGTGTGTGTGTGTGTGTAAGAAGGGAGACTGCATAATTTCTCGTCCTTTCTTAACCTCTGAGAGTTAGGGAAGGGGGCAGCCCAGGAGCCTTGGAGAGAGTGGCTCTCGGTCACACACATGCACTTCCTACCACCTGTGGCCTCTCGGGCTCGGCCTCTTTTGCTGGGAGCTCGGCTTTCTTTTACGACGTCTTCGCTCAGGGCCTGCCAGGGGCCTGTCCGCGTCCTCTGGCGCGGGTCCTCGCGGCCACCGCTGACCCGAGGCGCCCCCGCGTGTCCCTTCAGCCACTCCGCGGAAGCAGCGGCGGGAGCGCACCACTTTCACGCGTTCGCAGCTGGACGTGCTCGAGGCGCTCTTCGCCAAGACTCGCTACCCTGACATTTTCATGCGCGAGGAGGTGGCGCTCAAGATCAACCTGCCGGAGTCCAGAGTCCAGGTGCGCACGCGGGCGCTCCAGGTCAGGATAGGGGTGCTGGGCCTGGTGGTGGAGGGCCTGGGGTCTGGTTTTGGGGCGGGCTTACAGACTGGGCGGCCCCTTCCAGACCCCCACCCCCTACCCCCACTCTGGTCCTGAGCCTGGAAGAGGGGACAGAGTTAAAGGAGCTAGCTTAGAGCCCTGGATCCGGCCCTTGGCCCCAGGGCGCTTTGGGTATCAAAGGTCCTTTTTTAGGATTGCGGGAGAACAAAGAGGCTCCGAAGGTAAAGTGCCCTGAGGGTCCCACACTTGCCCCAATTCCTTCAGGGTCCTGAATTCTGCCTCCGCCCTGGCCTTGCAACCCGGGAATCCTGACAATAGAAGAGTGGCGCTTGGCCGGAGTCTGGTGCCCTATCTGGGAGTTGGCTCCGCGGGTAGTGCCAGTTTAATCAGACGCTTCCTTTGCCACAAGAAGATGCCGAATGCAAAACCGGGCTCTGGGCTTTGCGATGAAAGAGCCCCGAAAAAAAATATTGTTTGGATTATAACTCAGAACTCTCCTCGGGAGCCTTTTATCGCGCCTTCTTTTCTCGGAGTCTCGAGAAAGTACCAGGAATGCAATGCCAAGTTCCAGGGCCTTCCAAGATGAGTGAGAGCTTCCTGACTGACTGTACTATTAGGTTCCCCACTCGGAGCCAAGAAGCCCAAAGAAACTCTGCGGGGGCTTCTTTCCCTAGTCTCCCAGTACGGCCTCGGTTCAGCTTCCTCATTTTGCTCCTACTCTCACCCCAATTCTCGCCCTGCCCACCCCGGGCCTCCCGCCGGCCCACTGGCTCAGACCTCACACTTGGTGACTGTCCCACACTTCCCGGCCTGCTCAGTGCCTCTCCGCTGTTTCCTGCGCTCTAGCCCTAGAAGACAGGGCCTCCAAACGTACACGGGCTGCTGGGAACAGACCACAGCAGCAGTTTAGAGATGGCTGGACTTGTGACTGGACCCACGCAGATGCTCCACCCTAGGGCAGAGTTGCTCCGGGGGTGCGGGGGCGGGGGATGTGTCCACATCCCTACTTGGCCAGAGGAGGGTCTTTGAGCAGTAGGATGGGGGCGGGCGGAGGAGCTGGGAAGGCTGGGGCTGGGGCAGGGGCTGGCCGGGCTAGAGATGGGGAGGGGCAGAGGCCTCGGTAGGAGTTCGAGGCGTGATCCTAGGCGGGGTGGTGGGCCCCAGGGGCGGGGAGCAGCAAGCTCTACTCGCCTACTGACACACTCTCCCCGACCGGCCCGCTGCAGGTCTGGTTCAAGAACCGTCGCGCCAAATGCCGCCAGCAGCAGCAGAGCGGGAGCGGGACAAAGAACCGCCCGGCCAAGAAGAAGTCGTCCCCGGTGCGGGAGAGCTCGGGCTCCGAAAGCAGCGGCCAGTTCACGCCGCCCGCTGTGTCCAGCTCCGCCTCGTCCTCGAGCTCGGCTTCCAGCTCTTCAGCCA